CCAGAGTCTTCTGGCAAAAATAGTTTTTCTATTTAAAACAGATGCAGCAAACTTCAGATGTTTGGCATCAGTTCACATACATCAAGGAGCGAGTATAGGGTTTCTCTACAGAGCTGCCATTATATTCAACCATCACTCAGCCATCAAACAGGGAGTTGTCGTGTGGAGCTGGAGCACTGACAGTTGTTGCTTTTTTTCCTTAGATAGAAAATTTTTTTTTTGAAATATTACACTTTCACTATCGCCACACTATCGCTCTCCTTATTGGTCGGTTGATCTCGAAAAGAAGCCACAGCTCCAACCCACGACGCCAAGCCCTACTTAAGTGGCTCGACCTTGTGGCTTGGATCTGGTTTGAACTGCTGCAGAACGCAGAGAATCGCAGTACAACAAGAAACCAACAAGCCAAAACTCTGGACTAAACGATCGGGCAGAGCTCCTAATAAGTAAGAGTGGGGATATAAGTGCGCGAGCACCAGAGGAGAAGAAAATACCCCGATCTAGGCCCCTCAGCGTTGGTTTAATATCGAGAGCTGGCTCTCTCCGTCTCACTCACAGGCGCACACCAAGAAACAGTGCGGCCTCAGACCTGGCAAGCAGCGACCGAGTTCTTGGAGCAGCTCCCTCTCTAATTTAATAGTTGATTGCCGTGGGCCCTCTGTGTGTGTGACTAGTGAAATATGAGTGTGGAGAGCACAGTACGGAGGCTTGGACTGGACTTGTGCTCCGCATGCGCGTGACCATGGGAGGCAAGTACTGGACTGTCTTGAGTTCGCCTGTGAACATGCGTGCAAGTGTGCACGCATTGAGTCTGCGTGAAGGCCTGAGTGGAGCCCATGCGCATACGTGTGTGTACGGTATGCGTGTGTGTGCATGTGGTTTTTGGCCAGAAGCTTGAGCAGAGACTGCACTGCCAGTGAGAGCTGTCTGCAGGGAATCGGGCGAAGCAAGAGCCAAGCTGAAGAACAGTACCTTTCTCTTGCTAGAATGAGGTGTTTGGATGTGAATTTAACTGAGCTGGGCCCTCGTTAAAAAAATGGACTGGAGTATAGGAGTAAATTGTTGTAGGTCTGTATTCATTAAACCGCAGAAAGGGGGAATTTGGGACTTTGGACAGATGTGGCAAATGTAAGGAGTTTGATGGAACAATGGGGCAGGTGTAGGTCACACCCCCGTCTCTGATTGGTTATTCCTATCCGAGCATTCATTTGATTGATCATGCGATTGCTTGAGGGCAACTCCTAAAAACGACTCCCACACTTAACTGGAACTGCTGGTAAAACTCTTGATAAGTGCGTTGTGTTCCAGCGAATATGGTTTCTATTCAAATTTATATTCAGTTGGCTCGCTGCAGTCATCTTACAGTAAGTGTTATTCCCTGAGCAACGAGCTTCCCCCTCCACTGCAGTCAACGTGACTACACAAAGCAAAACTTTTTCCTTAAATCCTGAGTTGATACACTTTCTTTTCTAGGATTTTCCTTAAAGCTTTTATCACAAAGCAACAGAGTAAATTTAATTTTACTTATAACCTGGGCGCCAGGATCCTGAGACGAACCAATATCAAGGACACCACGTCATCAAATCCCATCCCAGGACTGATCCAAGGATGATGCCAGAGAACTTTTTCAGAAGTTCTCTGTTCAGAAGATTTCCAAAGATGCATGTGTGTATCCTCTGCACACCTAAAAACACCCACAAAGCCATGCGCACACTGCGTTTTCCTGTCCCTCGATTTGGAATCAGGGAAAATACGCTAGTAAACCTGATGTTATTTAACCTCAGCAGTCCACCAACATGTTTTTCCAATGGAGTCTGGTGGCTTTGAGGAGATCATATTAACTGTGTGTTTTGTACATTAACACATTATAATAAACTGGAAAGATCCCTGTTCATTTATTTATGAGTAGGCCTACCTGATTTGAGGAATGCAAAATCAATAGTCCTACTAGCTAACAAACGGACATGCCCTAAATCGATCTAAATAACATTAAGATCTGAGCACCTTGGATTTCCCTTTCTCTTCTGGATGTCCCTGTTGCGCCCCCCCCCCATGTCCAAAGAGCACATTTGTTCACCGAGTATATTTCTAAATAATCTTTTTACAGGTTTTTTGGTCACAGTGTTTATAAAGCAAAAAATACACTCCGTTTGTTTCCTTTTATAGACACAGAAGGCCTGGGAACCCATTGCTTACCTTCCCAGAGGCAAACAGCAAGGTGCTTCCTTTTTCTCACTCTGTGTACATTTACTTTCAAAGCGGTTAAGTGGCCGAGAGAGAGTGGACGAGCCGATCTTCTGCTGCACAGCTTTCGAAGCCAGGATTTGACAAGCTTTAAACCAGGAAGCATCCTCCTTGCTCAGGCCACCCAGTCTGCGAAGTGAAATCCATGAATGGCAAACCTTGTTGCGAGGGACAAGAGATACGACATGGGAGCGGCCAGGTGTTTGGCTCCACAGAGCACACAGGGACTCTGGCTAGGACCAAACCACAATCAGCCCTCTCTGTGAGGACTCTTAGCCGAGTTAAATTAGCTGAATTGATTTCAAAACAAAGAAATAAACAAACAGTAATGGCGAAAACCTGGGACACATTAACAATCTGGAGGCTGGCTGAAGCAATTCTGTCTGTTTTACTGCTATTTTTACTGCAACCAACAGTGACGAGCCACTTGCAGACAAAAGCTGGATAGTCAAAATTGATTGGGCCAATCCCAGTCAAACAGCCAAATGTGCTGAGGACAACTTTATCCCCCCGAAAGAACGCAACAACACCCTTACCTTCCAACTAGTGGTTGTGACTCATCTGTATTGATCAAACCAATAAGACGTTGAGCAACTTCTGAGCTTAACACAACGGACTAAAATCCTTCATTAATCCAGAAATCCCATTTAAAGCAGCAAGGAGTGAGACCGTTGGCTAAGCCCTGATCACAGCTGTCGAAGCAACCATGGAGCCCACACTGTCACTAACTGCACTTCCAGGACATGAGACTGATTCAGCAGTGAAAACAGTTTCAAAAGATAAAGACGGAAGCTGAAAGCCTACAGGTCACACTGTGAAAAGTGAACCAATCAGCTGGTGATCGAGACAGAAGACAATGAAATGAAGGAATACCGTTCCTTTGAAGCCTGTTAACGAGTATCACTATTACACAACGTTTGACAAGCTAGAAATCCACAAAACCAGCCTGAAAATGAACAGTTGCATGAGAGTCTATGGAGCAGAGCAGGATAGTTGTCGAACCCTAATTAGAGCTGGCCGATGCTACACCATGATTGGCCAGGCAGCGTTCCAGGGGCGGGTCAATTCCCTGACAATAATATTTTAAGTATTTGCTGGAAATATAAATAAGAAAAGAAAAAAAAAATAAATAAATAAAAAGAAAAAAAAAAATCGCTTTTTTATATTTACTACATCTTATTTGTGTTCCACATGAATGAGTGCAGCTTGATACTTAGAACACCCACACACACACGCTACTGGATAAACACAATCTCAGCTTGGCTTTCATTCATAAGTACACTCAATACATCTGAAATCCACTGATTCATATTTAGTGTTTCCATCAAGTAAAAAAACAAAAGAAAAACCAACCGCTAACCAAATGATGACTCAAAACGAAAAAGACAAGTCTCAACGCATGGATGAATGAGAATCTCTCTTCTGTGCTCCGTATGGCACATGTTTTTGAAGGCATCACAAACCTGCCTGGTTGTGATAAACATAACGTCCCATCATGGGCAAGGTTCAAAGTACCACCGGTACACGATGTGCAATGTGACGCGGTGATGCAAGGGCAGACATCCCGCGTTTGAAATCGACACTCGACCTCGACTTTCTCGGTGGCTTCGAGAGCCGCGTCCTCCCTCCGTCACGCGAACTCTGACCCACATTTGGCTCCAAATTAATTGGTGGGACATTTGAAGAAAGAGCAACACGCTGGGTTATTTTTGAGGGAACCTAGCTCGCAGCCTCCACTGCCACCAACCCCCCCAGGCTTTGTCTTTCTGCTCGGTCTGTTTGCATTCCCGTTGAGCTCTATTTAAAGGCTCGATCACTCCACTGGCTGCAGGAATGCACATCTGCAGCGAGACCCCGTCCCGCTGTCTCCGTCTGTCTGTCTGTGTGTGTGTCTCCGTCTGTCTGTCTGTGTGTGTGTGTCTGTGTGTGTGTGTCTGTGTGTACAGTATTTGTTTCTAATAGCGGACTCGGAGCATTAACTGTTGCTGCTGAGCCACCGGAACTATAATTGTGCAAATAAATAGACAAAAGGGAGAGAGCAGGATGATGCAGAATGTTGTTTATCACATTAACAAGTGCCTTTGGATGACTCAACGATGTCGGCGCTTTACATCTGCACACTGCCTGTTCCTGAGAGGCAGAAGCAAAACAAGTCGATGCATCAGCAGTGCCTTTGATGCTCTGATCTTACTTTCCCTACGGAGAGACAAACGTGCAGTGTTGCATGCACATAAACACACGCAGCTCACAGACCACACTTGCCACTAAGCCACGAGTCTTTAATCATTCAAATTCTAACACTGTACTATGTTTTAAGTACAGCCAAATTCCTTCAATACTATCTCACACTTGGCTTGTTTGCTGCTACTTTCTTACTACAGCTTTCACAAAAACAATATGGAAAGATATTTTCACCCCTATAACACAGCTGTTTAATCAACACAAAAAGAAAACAGATCAGTTCAATTAACAATACAGGATAATAGAAATAAATAAATAAATGGCATTCATTTTGTTTGGAGGTATTGTGGTATTATAAAGCATCAAATAATAATAAAAAACATGTAATACAACAAGTGTCCCACTAGCTGAAGAGGGACCGACATGCACTGTGAATAACATAGAGGAGATTCCCCTCCTGTCCCGTGTAGCGAGGCGGATAAACTTTTCGCCCCCCCCCCTCCACGCCCGACACGCGCAGCCTCCGAGCCGCTAATTCCCCCACTGGGGGCCCACTTATAAACAGCCAAACTTACCTTGGAAAATGTCCCCGAGTCAAACAGGCATTATTATTATGTTGTCGCCTTCCATAGTTGGGACTTTTCGTCGAGTTGTTCTTCAGCTCCCCCGGACAGACTAGCGGGGCACGAGAGCAACGTAGTCGGACAAGGAGGAGGAGGAGGAGGAGGGGAGGAAGGAGGCCAGACAGAGTCGGCCGCCACCTGGTTGGAAGAGCCGGCTGTCAATCACCTGGTTTAGTGGGCGGGTCCCTAACTGTCAGGGGATTATGGGCGGCTGAGCTATCAGCACTGATCCCAGGTCTGAGGTTTTAAGGAATGTGGCATGGAAAGAACAGGATACGGGTCTCCTACAGCAGGATTATGATGGTTTATGTTTGCATCACTTTTCATTAGATGTTTTAATGCGATACTGCAGTGGCTTTACCTAAAAGTGGCAGCACTTTAACTATTAGCCTACTTGATTATTACTTATTTTTTTAATATCATATTTTATTAAATATATCATTTAATTTTATTCATGAATGCAACATTGTTTCATTTGGATCAGTTCATTTTCAAATAATCCAACTATATGCAATCTTTTTTTTGCTTTATTTTAAGGAGAGGGGAGGGGGAAAGTGTCAAAATAAATAAGATCATAATTATTTTTAATATTAAAAAAACATTCATCCTCTGCTGGTAAGGACAAGTAGTACATGAAGAACATTTTCTGTGAAACGTGTTGTCCCCCACTCAAAAACACAGGCTTTTCCAGGTTTTACTCAGTTATTGGTCTAAACTGCGACACCTAAATCATGAGACCCTGATTTATTTATTTGTTTACTTATTATGTAAGTCACCTGTTATGTGGTGAGCACAAAAAAAAACCACATTAAATCCATTAATGGTTCCATTGCTCTTTGCTTTAGCGGTACATAAATTGGATGACGGTGACATCTCATTATCCAAAGCGGTGACCTTTTGTCCTCCCCCGTGAATGCAAATGGAGCTTTGGAAAAGAAATAACACATCTGTCAGTGCAACCCAATCAGACGCGACACTGCAGCGTCCCACCTTGCTGATGCAGCGTCAACCGACACTGAGGAGCTTCGCAAAGGTTAAATGTGCCACAAGGGTGTCACGTTGGTTTGCATTCAGTTGTGCGGGAGTTCCTAAAAAATCAACTGGTGACTCAGTCTGCACGGTAAAGTCTTTAGTCTTGAATCATAATGCCACATTTCACTCTGGTCTCATTAGAGATGTTACTGTTCGTCATATGTTCAGTTTTATAATTTCCACAAAGTATATAAACTGCACAATCAACAGCGTATATGACTAAAAAAAACATGTTTCGTCTCATTAATTACCTTTAAAAGACAGTTTGATACCACACAGCGGTAGACGCCGTATGCTCTGTTTAGCTGGCTGTTTATCTGTGAAGTCACTCTGACCTTTGACCTGGACAGACTGGACAAGAACAAAAACTGTGGCCCGTTGGCGTCCGGCCCACCCATCATTAGGCAAACAACACCGACATCAATTATTCTGTTGAAAGAAGGGGGGGGGGATTTCCAATCTGAGCAAGTCCAGCTACCCACTTACTGACCCTGACCCGTCAGCCGCGGCCTGAAAGAGTTACAGCGCGTCTCATTAGGGAGCAGCGAACAGCAACCAGGCCTGGAAGAGAACTTTGTCTGTCTTCCTGCATGTTGGCTTTTCAGTCTGCATCTATTAGTGTCGTACATTTCTCTTAGAATAGTCCGTAGTTTAGTTTAGTGTCCAAGTGGCGTTGATTCAGATTATTTTGTAAGTGGTGTTGCTGGACTGCTGCTTGTTGTCCATCTGCATGTTTTGTGTCTGGCTATAAGTCTATCTGCCTGTCCATCTACCTCACTGTATGAGCCAACATGTCAGTCTGCCCCCCCACCCTCCCCCTTTTGTCTCACCTGTCTTTATCTCTGCTTCCTGTGTGAGAGCTGTCAGCTTTTTTGTGCTATTGATATCATTTAGCTATCTCTGTTTATGTAGCTTTTACTTCCACCTTCTGTCGCTTATCTGCTACTTAATCCTAAACTGACCAGTGTGCATGGTGCCCCTAGCTGAAAGCCCAGAGTATTGTAGCTGGTAGACACTGTGACTATTGAGGAGAATGTATTTGCATGTGGGACCACTTGTACAGGACATTATTTTTTAAATTGATTGCTCATACTGTGTGCTTATATTATTCAAGCTCCTCTGTGATCAAACACAGCTGTTTCTCTGAGCACTAATTCCGCCTCATCCACCACCTGTTGCATTATGTGATACGGTGCTGCTCCCCCCTGCTGGGCAGCCTGACACATCACACACAGGAGGCAGAACTGTTGCATCACATCAGCAGAGATTGAGGGATTTTGCTTTCGGTCTGCAACTATTTTAACGGATAAGTCTTAACGTCAGTCGGACAAAAGGTAATGGAAGTTTTGCAGTGCCTGGAATCATTTATTCCCTCGTCAGTGTTTCATGAAAATCTGTTGATAGATCTGGATCCTGCCAACTAGCAGACAAACAAACAACTATTCATGCTACCAACAATGCTCACATTCAAGACTTGAGCTGAGAGAGTGGAAGGTTTCATGAAATAAAATAAAAAAAATACTGACTTTTATAAATATAAGTGGGTATTAGTGCTTCCACCTCATATAGAGCATTTTAGCCTCTTTTAGCTCATTTTCTTGGTTTGGTTCAGTCTCGCTGCTCTCATCAACTTCATCTCAAAAAGTGGAACATCAAAGCAAAGACCTGATTTTTTTATTGCTCCCTATTTATTACATACATGTTTAATCCATAGTGACAGAAGAGAGGTGACAGAAAACAAATTGGAGAGCAGGCACCCTGGCATACAGAGCTTAAACACATCTCCAAATGAACCCTTATGTTGCTCTGTGTCTGCTGAATGCCTAAATAGGCTACTGTCTGCCAACACGTTCCCCTTAAAAAATCCATGAGGCAATAACATATCATTGTTCTCGGTTTCTCACCTTGTTGCGGAGGTCTTCTGCCCTCTATTGGTCTAAACCAGAGGTCTTCAACAGGGGGTCCGCGAAATGTTTTGGTTGATTAGACAATTAAAAAAATAAAAAAAAAATTGTAATTTTTTTTTCTCTAAACATCAATCTGTCCATTATTTTAATAGTTCAGTATTGTATGCAAGATAACAGGTATGTTTATGCATGGCAGTGGCACTAATAGGCCATCACTCATTTTTCGTTTCCACATTTATGTTTAAAATGAAAACATCAATTTGAATAGCTTGTATGCATGATTATCATGCAATTAACAGACAATGTTGATATTGGCATTGGTATCAGCTGACAAGGTATGTTTCTAAATGGCAGTGGCACGGCCTCCCTACTCACTGTACCTTGCACATGTTTAAAATAAAAACATGAATATATGAACCTGTGTATTATTTGAATAGCTTAGTATTGAATGCACAATAAAGAGGTATACACGGTACTAGGCCCATTTAATATAAAACACAATTTTATACAATATATATAGTCGGGGGTCCCTGCTCCATTTCTTTATCAGTTTGGGGGTCCTTGGCCTGAAAAACGTTGAAGACCCCTGGTCTAAACAATACATATTTGTGGGCGATTGATCAGTGTTTTTGGGAGTATGGAGTGTCCCTTTCTCATACGCTGGCATACATTAGGAATTTATTATCATTGCTGTTAGCTGCCATTGTTTGTTTTTGGACTAACATTTTAAAGCCTACAAGTTCCGCGTTTTGGCCCTCGCTATCTTGGTTTTTGGCTCTTGGTTCTTTTCAACCAGAAGTTGAGAGGGTGGAGCTAATAACAACCAAACGCTAAACAAGACATTTTTTGTACAACTTTCATGAACTGGGAACACACTGTGAAAGGGTTAACGTTCTAAAAAGAAAAAAAGAAAATCAGTCTTTCTTCCATCACTCAGCCTCATCTTTAGGAATGAGGACTCCCGAGTTCATTCCATCTCGCTGACGCTCGTGCATTCATTCATTGCTGTCAGAATATTTTAAACCCTTTATCACATGATAACAAATGTGCTGGACCCGGTGTTGACGTACTTTAGAAATAATAATGCTGTGGCCTACAGTTTGCACAGTGACTCACTGCCAGTTTGAGTCACATCTCCCACAGAAGTGCCTCGTTCATGTATACATGCTCACATTCACACACTGATGCACCGCGCTGGCAGGCCACAGGCCCGCACAACACACATAAATGCAAACACACAAAGAGCACGGAGACACGCGCACAATGGCACACATCTGACACCCATCTACACCTAGTCACACACACACACACTCACACACATGCCCCAAAGCCGCTGATGGTTGTTAAATCCCTGCATGACGTCACTGCCAGGCAGCAGGGGGGGTGTGGTCTTCACTGGTTTGTTAAACATACCAGAGCTTAAATGCTGAACAGCCTCTGCCATTCACTGACGACACCCTCCCCTCTTTCTCTCTCCCTAGCTGCCATTATTTCACTCCGTCTTGCTCACAGAAGTCCTATTTTTTCTAATACCAGAAAGGTAAAGAGTTGCAATGTTTCTCTCTTTGCAGCCTTTTCTACATCTGTCACTTTCTTGCTCTATTGCTGTGTTTTTAAAGTTATCTTTTTCCCCTCCTTTTTTGTACTGCTTCCTCCTTGGATCACACTTTAGGACGTCTGCGAGTTGAGTTGGCAAGTGTCCTGCTCATCTGAAGCCCTGTTTTTTTTGGGGATCCGTTCTTCGGGTCAGTCCTCCCCCTGTGAAGAGTCCAGCTTGGTGGTGGTCGAAACGTAAAAGATGTTCCTCCCGTTGGCAGTGGTGATCTGTCTGTCAGCCATCCAGCTGTGTTTGGGCGAGCAGCCTGTGGAGGAAGTCATCACAACAAGTACGTGGTGATATGGATAAGAAGTACGAGTATGAGAACGGGGAGTTACAGAGAGGCAAGCAAGACAAAGGAATAGTATAAGATAGAGAAGGAACTGACCTACTTGGTGCTCATGTCGACTTTCTGGCTTAATTTAATGGAACCAAAATTGATACACGAGTCTTTGCATTGAAGAACAATAAAGAGACTCATGGCAACAGCTTTCTCTTCTCAAAACAAATTTGATGATTAAAAGGATAAGTATATTCAAAGCTACGCTGTAACTACTTATACTGTCCTGATTACATTACTTTTACTTTGTTCTATTTTTGTGATCCAGATGAGTCTCATATTGGTGACCTTAATTAATATTAAGATGTCAATCGCCCACAGAGATAAAATGCGGAAAAGAAAATGTTGACACTTTTCTTTGTTTATTGCTTATTTATATTTACTATGTTTTTATATATTATTACTTATATGCTTATTTAAAATCTGTAGTGGGGACAGTTCTCAAAACAAAAACAAAAAATCCTGATTCATCGCCCTGATTTCTGTGAGTACCTGAAAAATGTCAGATGTAGTTAAGAACATTTATATTAAAAATCTTAGTCAAACCCAGTGAAGCACGAATTCTGCAAAAAGGAACTATAACCAAGTGTCATTGAGATTTTGTATGTCAGTCAGTGCAGTTTGAGAAGAGTGAATAACAATACAACAAACAACAATAAGTGTGTACGATGTACACACAGTTGAATAGCTTGAGTGAAAGGATAGTACAGATGCAACATCTGAGTCACGACCAGCAATGTAGAAACCAGTTGAACGGAACGTTTGTAGTCTCTGCCAATTTGACTTTGTCCATTTGTCATTTCTAATACAATGAGATGACGCATGTGAACAATTTGAGCAATCAAATAAAAGTAGCAATTGTAGTAGTAATTGAACTCTTGTATGAGCAGATTGTCTTAGCTATTAAAGGCATCAAGATCAGCAATAAAGTGATTCAACCTGAGATGATTTCAAACAGTTTAAAGAAGAAATGGCACAGTGTGTGCCTGCGTGACACAAAACACAGTAACTTGTTCCTTCATGTCGTCAGTCTGTAGACAGTGACTCTACTGCTGTCTGCTTGGGTACAGTGAGTCAGGAGGCTTGGCTTAGACAGCAGTCTGAGAGAGTCGTCGTTGGTCAGATGCTATTTAACTTGGCAGAATGGAGTTTGGTTTGGGAGTGTAGTGAAAAGTAATCCATCAGGGCCACTCAGTACCAATCCACCAAATGTGTCCAACATCAGCCCATGACTTCTGTTATTGAAATGGTTTTACTGAGCAGAGAAACATTGTGGTTGGTTCAGATTTGTACTTGGTGTATATTTTAAATACTCATGAGGATAAAACATAAATACTCTATTATATATACAGTATATGTAAGATCTGTGTTGTCCTCATGATGTCCATCAACCAACTGCAATGTTGAGTGTGATGCGTTGCGATTCTGAACACACCCTGACTTCTATGTATTGTTGTACTACAATGCATAATGAACTTCTGTGCTTGAAAGGGTGCAGCATGTTAGATGGCAGCGCCTAAAATGGCTATCCATGGCATACCCAAAGTAAATTGAAAGCTGTTCTTGAACCATTTGAAGTACATGCATGGTTTTGGTCTGTTTTGATAGGTAACACTCTGAAGTTTTTCCCCCACCAGTGAGAGTCACTGTAAATGCTACTGGTATTGACTAATAGAAGTTGGAACACACTGAAATAGAAAGTTTTTATTTCCGCCTGAATATTTCTTTGCAAACAGATGCCTGCAGATGACGATAGCTGGGACTTATTAGCTGGAAAACACAATGGGACCACAGTATGAAGCCTTACCTAGTCCAATTTCAAATTTGATAACAGTACCACAAAAAATTAATATTTTACACATGTTTTACTCAGGGTATGTCAAGGCGCTTTCCAAAAAAGGACATTTGGGGACCCATGGTAACCATAGTAACATACCTAGGCTGTGTAGAAATGGGTATTTATAATTCAAACTAAAGCTTATTTATGTCTAAATACACAGTGGATATGCTAAAATGTTTACATTTAGCAGGTATACTATTCATCGTGTACACCAACTCAGTTCGGGATGTTGGCAGCCAACCTTTGCTAATTAGCACTAAATTACATTAAAATGTTGAACTAGATAAAAAAAAGTGCAGAATTACTAAAATAGAACAATTCAACCTGAGGCTGACATGAAAATCTGAACCAAATGTAATGGCTATCTATAGTTGTTGAGAAATCTAACTCCAAATTACAAAAGTCAGCCTCCTGGTTGGGCCAGACAAAATGTCAGGGCACCACCAAAGTCGGTTGGATACATTGTCTGGGAAACATTAATGTCTGTAAAACATTTTTGCCAATCCATCTAGTACTGTAGATTGAGATGTTTCACATTGTAAGACAGGAAAATCAGCCCAAAGTACGTCACATCTATAGTATTTCGTCCAAATGTTGTCCAAGATATTTTAATAAAACACTGAAATGTCAGCCTCATGGAGGAACAGTCAAGGGATCAGTGAAATCAGTGCTTTCATCCTCTGCAGAACATTATTGGGTGTGCCGAATTTCATGTCAATCCATCCAATAGCTGTTGAGATATCTAAGTCTGGATGAAAGTGGTTGACCGACTCACCTACATTGTCAGCCCTAGACCTTCACTGCTATCATTGTGGCTTGACACTGTGAAAAACTAAAGCCAAACAATCATCATTTTGATTACGTGGGCCACCCAAGGTACAGAAGCTGCAACTACTGTATCTAAATTCCCCTTCTCTTTCCTTGAGAAAACCTGCTTTATATTATTGGCTTGATGAATGAGGCTTGGTTTGGCAAAGTAGTGTGAACGGTTTGGCAGTGTTCGAGTAAAACTGGCTGAATCCAGGGTTTAGTTGTCTTAACGTTTCCAAGTCCTTGACTGATGTTCTGGACTGAAACCGCAAATTTTCAGGATGAAGGAGCATAAAAACCCCAAAGGGAACACACAGAAACAGAACACTTACTGACTGGGCCATTGGAGTCAGTGTATCAGTGCATGTGTATGGGTGGGCATTTTTATGTGTATGAATAAGTGCAACACGTTCTCATTCCCAACTCGTCAAATACCAACGCTTGGTCAGAGGCCCTTAGCTCTGACACTCTAGATACCATTCTAGCATTAGTATTGGACGTGTCAAAACAGCTTGTCAGTTTCCCCTGTTACATGCATAGCGTTTTTTCAAACTCCTGTCTTAACAGGAAGTTAAGCCACTTAGGATCTTTAGGAAAAGATCATGGTAGATGTTAACTTGACTGACTAACGACTCATGTTACTCACGTCACTAAGCGATAGCGACTCACAATAGTACCGAGTGACTAACTAGTCACGTGCCTACAGAGTGACTAGTGACTCAAGTGACTACAGAGTGACTAGTGACTCACATGACTACCAAGTGACTAGTGACTCATGTGACTGCAGAGTGACTAGTGACTCACATGACTACCAAGTGACTAGTGACTCATGTGACTGCAGAGTGACTAGTGACTCACATGACTACCTAGTGACTCATGTGACTGCAGAGTGACTAGGAATCCAGCGACTACCGAGTAACTAGCAACTCAATTTACTACCGAGAGACTAGTGACTCACATGACGACTGAGTGACTAGTGACTCACGTGACTTCCAGGTTATTAGCGACTCTCGGAACTATAGTGACTCAGATCTCTACAGAGTGACTAGCGACTCAATGATACTACCAAATGACTAGCGACTCACATGACTTCCAGGGGTACTAGTGACTCTCGGGACTATAGTGACTCAGATGACTACAGAGTGACTAGCGACTCACGTGACTTCCAGGTTACTAGTGACTCTCGGGACTATAGTGACTCACATGACTACTGAGTGACTCCTGACTCACGTGACTTCCAGGTTATTAGCGATTCTCGGGACTAGAGTGACTCAGATGACTACCGAGTGACTAGCGACTCACGTGACTACCGAGACTAGTGACTCACATGACTACCGAGTGACTAGTGACCCAGTGACTACTGAGTGACTAGCGACTCATGTGATTTCCAGGTTACTAGCGACTCTCGGGACTATAGTGACTCAGATCACTACAGAGTGACTAGCGACTCACGTGACTTCCAGGTTACTAGTGACTCTCGGGACTATAGTGACTCACATGACTACTGAGTGACTAGCGACTCACGTGACTTCCAGGTTATTAGCGAGTCTCGGGACTATAGTGACTCAGATGACTACTGAGTAACTAGCGACTCACGTGACTTCCAGGTTATTAGCGACTCTCGGAACTATAGTGACTCAGATGACTACTGGGTGACTAGCGACTCACGTGACTTCCAGGTTACTGGTGACTCTCGGGACTATAGTGACTCAGATGATTACAGAGTGACTAGCGACTCACATGACTACTGAGTGACTAGTGACTCACGTGACTTCCA